TTGTACTGGAACCTGTTGGGGGGCGGGGGGGGGGACAGGGGATAGCGCGCAGGGGGGGGGTAGCGGGGTACTCATCATCATGGATGACCGTGTTTGTCATGCTGCGGGGACCCTCGCATCCCTCCTAGGCAGCACGTCGTGTTTTCAGGTGCGAAAATCACATACATTCGGCACTTTCAATGATTTTTGTTTTCTGGATCAAGTACAACGAGGCTTTCGAGTGCCCACGGCACGAACACCAATGAACGACTAAGTACCATGGCCCTTTATCCACCAAAAGGGTGTACTTGTTGTGCAAGCACGAAGCGGTGCACAAGGCCAGAGCTACCTTCCTCCCGGTGAGGTCGAAGAAAACGGGGGCCCTTTTTTGTAGTGCGCACCACCATCGCGGACAGGTAGCATTGGGCACTTCGCGCTACACGTGCACAAAAACTACAGCCGCCGTCGTAACCTTAAAAACCTTCTTATGGTGCCAGGAACCGACTTTATTACGATACAAGAAAGCACGCCGGGCGTGCTATTGTCTGCGGGGTGTGGTGTCTTATGCCGCCCTTACTACCACCGGGTGATTGTGTGGGTGTCGAGGGTGTCTCGTGACGCGGATGGGTTAAAACATACCCTCGTATCCAGCACTCAACAGAGTCAGTCGTGACTCGGTACAGTCCGATTCTGGGCAAACGGTGGCGGTTTCGACCTCAACAGCGGGGGAGATGGCTGTTGTGTCAGGGAAAATCGAACCGGAGTTTCCTCATGATGTTTAATCGGGTTTTCTACTGCTCTCGTATCTTGTGAACTTGGGGGGGGAGATCGCATGGTGTGCTGCGGTGGGCCTCCGCAGAGCTGTCGCTAGAAGGCAGGATCTTTTTTGCCCCGTTTGTGCTCCGACTGCTGTGTCTACGAGACACAGTGGACCGACACTTCGCCTAGGCAGGGCGACGTGTTGCTTTCAACGGCGTTCGACACCATGCCTGCAAAATCAGCTACGGTTCCCAAAAAAGATATCGTGTGGGTTGTGACCACTACAGCAGCCTTGAGACAACAAATGAATGACCGCGTAGGATACGTAAGATACCACGCCCCCTGGACTGATCGTCAAAGCTCGACTACTCCACGACCAAGAGGTTATCAACATCAAATGATGCATTTTCGAAAAGCTCTCCACGGGACGGTTCCGACGAAAACGTTTGTCGACACCGTCACTCTGTTTTGTTGCGGGGTAACCGAGCTTTGAGAACTAGTCCGGGCTGTTTCGTATCTCCCTCAACTTCTGCCGTGCTTTTGTACATTTTACTGATTTTATCTCCTACAGAGGTATCTGAGGGACAACATGAATCAGCTCGAGCTCTAGGTCTCGACGCACAGCTGTGTGGAGGTGGCATGGCATCACAAGGGGAAGACGCGGCCTGTTGTATGCATGTACCACTCTATCGGTGTAGGCGAGATTGCAGTCGAGATTGCAGTCGACACACAAGCTCCGTCGCGCATCCAATGGAAGATACACAAACCACGTGGGGGGTTTTCGGCGCCGTGACCACGTGATGATGCGTTACAGAGTAGCTCTCACGTCAATGGAGTGCAAACGACGGGATATTACGGAACGCTACCAGTAGAGCCTACAGCTAAGGGCCCTGAAAAATGTATCTCTGTCTTCAATGCCCACAGGCGTGGATCAAGCAACTGATCCCTACCGCACGACCACTGCAACTTACCCGCCGCGTTTCCTACATGTTGACCTCCGCTGGTGCATGAAAAGGTTGTGTATGTGTGCCAGCATCATGGCTTCTCTCTCCTTCACTCACCGTCGGAATCTCGCGGCAGCCGCCGGCCCCACCACAACCTCGCTGACACCGTCATGCCCTGCTTTGTCCCCCACTGATTCCCTTCCATCTACTCCTGATGGTGATGGTGGTGGTGGTGGTGGTGGTGATCGTTGCTTGTTGTCGTACAGCCACTGCGCCGCCACCAGCACCGCGCAGCAAAGGCTCAGCGAAACGAATGTGTCCACCGCCCAGTCTGGCCACTCCGGGCTCAAGAGGCCCAGGCTCTGGAGGCCTCCTCGCACCATGGGAGCCAGCATCTTTTTGTCTGGCTATACCTCTCCCTCTGTATCGCGCGCGTGGTGTATATGACCAGCAACACTCATCCAACTTTATTTTAGTATTTTAGTACCGCAAATCCTCGGCTACGCGATACGCGAGCGCCGCCGCGAGGGGGTACGCAGAGTACACCGTAGGTGCATCTGGAGAGAGAGGGCGACTTAAGACTCTGCTGCTAAAAGGCAGAAGAGCAGCTAGGCAGACATCATTTGTTAGGCGCGCTAGCTCCTCCATCTCACGTTGTGATGGACAAGGAGGCCACACATAACAGCCGATTCTTGGATATAGACGGCAAGGCGCGCGCCTATTTCGCCAGCTGCGGGTTAAAGAGCTGGTCCGAGCTGGTGGATTCTGCAACTCCGCAGCAGCAGCAGCAGCAGCAGCAGCAGCAGCAGCAGCAGGTTACCAAGGAGCCGGACGGGGTAACGACCGCCGACAACGCCGGAGACCAGCTCTCGCCCAGACGGCCGACTAGCAAGAAGGCCAAAGTCGGTTGATGAGCAGAGGGTGCGGTGATTGAGTAAGTGTACATGCCAACCGCTGTAAATTCTGGAGTCTTCTGTGCCAAGATTTAGATCCGCCGCGCTGGAGATTGATTGATCTGCACATACATCTGCACATACATGTCAGTGCAATGGCAGGAGGGCTGAGACCGCCTGGTCCAGGAGCACGATGGTATGATGGCATGATGGTCTGCCAGGTCGAAGTTGACCGTTTCAGAGAGAGCTAAAGAGTACGCGTTGCTTTCAACGAGCGGTTTAGGCGAGGAGGAGAGCGATGTAATGACGCTTATATGGTGGCGAGTCAGATTCCTCGTGGATATCGAGGCAGTCATAGACTTTCAACATGCGGAGTTGTCTTGCCAGCACCGTCCGCGAGGACGGTCTACAGCAGTCTTAGGATCGAATGGCGGTGCCGATACCTGGTCGCGGGCTTGGCCATTTTGGCATGGAACAGCAGCAGTGCAGAGGCGTCACGTGGCGACTGCGCTGTGCGCCACGCCATTCCTGGATAAATCAACAACAATTTAGGAAGCTGAGGAGCAAAGCCGGTACCTAAACGGGATTGATTGGTAGTCCGTACCACAAGCAGACGACACTACTGCTGTACCACATGACATGGATGTTTGCTCTCCATCGGTAATCGCGTGGGTATTGCTGTAAGTGTTTCCTCATGGGTGAGCGACACCTCTTGTTCCACGCCCATCTTTTTCGACTTGTAAACCACTGTATTGTACATGTGTGCAGGGCGCGTCTTCGTGTTGGTTGTGGTGAGACCTCGTTCACTGCTGTACTACTGTAGAAGAGCTCAGCGGTGCATAGCCGCTGCAGGTTTGGCGCGCGGTGGGTGGTCATGTGTTCGATTTGTTCCTGTTGACAGCAACAGCGAATACGTCGGGTGTGTGTTGCTTGGTTGAAAGTATGAAGAATGCACCACGACGTATGCGTGTGAGAAAGAAAGGTACCTAGCTCGTCTTTGCTGCTTCGAGTTAACCTTAACCATCCTCTACAGCAGCGGTAGTTGTTAGACCGTCGACAGGGTAGAGGCGCCACTCCGTGGCGATTTTTCCGAGGAAACGACATCCGGTCTCGGAGAGAAACCTCCTGGGTGCATATGCATGTACTGTAGCTCGCACCAAGTGTACGGATTCCAACAACGAGCTCGATATTTGATCGTGCAAACTGCAAGGCGAGACCACGAACACCGCTAGGATGCCTGCGCGGTTCTCTATCTTGGCCATTTAGGCTATCGTTCACGAGTGGAGCCAGCAGCTTTTCCCTGTTTGTCTGTGTGGGACTATCGGAATTTTAAGGCGGCGTCTTTTCATCGTCGACCTTTTGCGGGCGATGCGGGGGTGGGTGGTGGCGTAGGAAGAAACCATTGGTGTGGCGCGGTGCGATCAGATCAAGTGCTGGATAGGATGTTTTCCTGTGTACATTATTGCGACCAACGCGAATCAAATGCGGTGAGAGTGTTTGTTTGAACGCCTGTTTTTTTCCTGAAGCATTTGTCTTTGCAAAAGCTTGGTCGGACATTGGTTGCGCACTTCTTTCCCATCTCAGGCGAGCTCGTGACATGCATTGTTCGCAGTACGCCGACAAAAAATTGGGCTATCGTTCGGAAAGTCTCATGCCATTTAGGTGGCAGCTGTAGTGTGGCGCGTCAAAGTCTCGATTAGCAGGCTTGTCATGTGGCGTTGTTTTGTTGTCAAGACGTTTCTCGATTTGGCGAACAGCCATCGCTGCGGCTGGATTTGCCGAGAAACCGGGTCGTTGTGCGCGCCTTTGAGCTGTATCGCCGCCGAGCTCCCTGGCGACTACATACGCGGCGGAAATAGTGAGCCATAGTTTGAATCAACCGCGGTCAGGCTTTGCCGACGCTAGTGTGTATCGTTTCAATCCCGTAGAGGACGGAAACGTCGTGGAGGGGAAGGGAACACACGGCCGATAGACGCACAGCCGAGCCTGTCTCGAAGTGTCACCTAACAAACTATCTACTGGAAAAGCGCGAATGTTTGCACGCCCTTGACCTCTCTTTCCTTTCTGACGGAAATTCTAGTAAGAGACGGAACTTCTGAAACCTCTTGTTCACCAAGCCTCCGGTTCGTCATCCCAAACTAGAAAAAAAAAACGAGCTCATCGAAAAAATTCTCCGGAACTGCCGTCCAAAAGATTTACATCAACTTTTTCCATTCTCGCAGGTACCATGTGCCTGTCGTCTCCATTCATGTGAAGACAAAATACAGCTAACCTTGTCGGCTATTTAGTACACCCATCCTCTGCTCCAAATCAACACGCCGCATCGGGTCCCAAGCTAAGAAGTTTTATACCCGAACACGGTCCCAACAAGGAGCAAACACCTGGATTCTGCCACACCCGGAGAAACCGTTACACATGTTGCGTGAAACGTACGCTGTACTGAGTCCTGGGTGGTCTGTCAGCTTGTCGTCTTCGGTCGGCGTGGTAATGTAACGCCGTTGCGGTTCACTCTGTCGACTCTGCTTTCGCCTCGGGGGAGCAACAACAACAGTGCCCTACTCACTCAACACCTCTCAAGTGACACAACAGGCAATCTCACCCACTGAGGGGTGTCTGGCCTGGTCATCACACCACCTCGCGGCAGCACCAACAAGTTGCCAACGTTTCTCCAGTCCCCGGAAGCCAAAACATTCTAAAAGATGTTTCACGAGATTTATCCCCGACCGCCAAAAACAAGAACACACACAAACACTCGCCGATTGACGGGTTGGCACAGATCCGCTTGCTTCTGGATCAAGGGTTTTAACAAAGCTGTCGTCTGACGACCCTCCCCACAAAACATCGCTTGCAGTGTCCTCGGCGATCAAGGTATTTCCCCTTGAAACATGTATGTGTGCGTAAAGGACTTAATAGAAGGAGGGCAGGAAAGCCTTTCGGCGACCAGCGAAAAGAGAACGAGGGGACGATACTTGTGTTTTTACACTTCCTCCGCCTGCACAACGAGAACCGCCGCCGCTACCTTTACCCCGATGTACGCATGCACAACCATGACGACTTCGCAAGCAACAGAGCGCAACAACAAAGCCCTTTCGCCGTGCGTGCCATAGCCTGCCTACTGGCACGACGTTGCCCTCCCGTTCAAAAATAAACAAAAAAAACTTGTACAAAGGGTGTGTCACCTCTCTTGACTCTGCCACGCAACGAATCGATCCCGGCGAGAGTGCCGCGACAATCCCCAGACCACGGGGATTTCATCCATACCCAGCTCGGGGGGGGGGGTATTCCCTCGACGAGGCGTGTTTCCATCTGCAGCAGAACTTCGCCTCGCCTTTCCGCCCCCTTAATGAGTTACTTTCGCAAAGTATTTCAGAGACAAACAGACTCGGTCCCAACAACGGGGAGAGGGCGTGTTCTGAGCACACACCAGTTATTATTAGTACTGAAATTTCGTCAGTATCAGTGGTGGGCGCCGGCCTCTTTCAAGGTGACCATCGTGCCCATGACCATGAACACCGCGCCGAAGAGGATGATGGCCTTGTTCAGGGTGATCTCCGACACCAGCCCTCGGTTCGCGCCCAAGCGCTGCAAGAGGCTGATGTTGAGCACCGCCGGGATTATGTAGTTTGCGCCGGACCCTGTTTTTTCAAGAGTGTTCACGTGTGTGTTTACTATTAGCATCGACCGCGCTACCAATGAAAAGACGGCAGTCTCAGTGGGGTTGAAAAGACAAAATGTTTTTTGAAAGGGCGTGAATGTAGTTAGTTGAGAAGGGGAGCGGGCGTAAGGAAAAGCGACGGGCAGCAGGCCTGAGCTGCTGCTGCTGCTGTTGCCGGTGCCATCTAGGCGTTCGGACTTGCGTTCGTTCCTCGGGAACATACTGTGTACCCGACAGAGGATTCGATGCAGTAAAACAGTGCCCTTGGTGTTGTCGTTTGTTGTCTCCACATGAACAACCGTTCCGGTCTCCGCTCAGTACATTCTAATATCCGTACTGGCCCAAGAGCCCTACGATAAATAATCTACCATCACCCCGGTGGTAAGACCGAGGGGGCGAAATGCCGGTGACGAGAAGCAAGGTCGGTTACGTTTCGGACGCCCCCCCGATGTTCGACCACGCGCCCAGAAAATGGTCCACACATACACGCGCCGCCTGCACTAAAAAGCAACTGATTTAAAGCAAACTAACACACATGCGGTGTCCTTGAATAAACCCCGGCTGGACTGTCGCTTTCGCGTTTGATTGCCTGGGTGGTCGAGATGCCACGTTGACGTGCAAAAAAAATGTTGGTGGCCTCTGTCCAGTACTGCGTACTCTACCATAAGCTCCCACAGGCAAGAATAACTACTGTACTTTCCGCGGTAACAAGCGATGTAACCGCCATGCGGTAGCCTACACACCAATGTCTGTTTTGTTGTTCGAGCATTTGAAACACCAGTCCTCGAAAAAACGCCATTTTTTACGGCATATGCCTTCGTTTGTTTTGTTGTATTTTCCATAAAGTCTCACCCAAGATCGCCCCGATGAGCCCGATGATAGTCGCCACGTCCTCTTCCGACTTGGTGCAGGCTATGCTCGTGACGACGGCCATCAGGGAAACGATGCAACCTGCGAAATAAAGAGGCAGCAATGGGCCGGAAGCGGCCGCGCATAAGCGATCGTCAAGCACCGTTTAGCGCGCTGTCCAAGAGTGCCGGTATATATATAAATGAAGCGGAAAAAAAACGGGGGGGCACACATACAGCAGTAAATTTTCCCGATCATGAGTCCGCTTCTCCTTCTCTGCGATACACCTCGACTAGGTAGTAGAGTGGTTACTATACTACCACACAGCGGTACACGTCTGTGTTAAATATTCGTGCGAGAGGAGGAGGTAGAGGTCTTGCTGTACATGCGCGCTTAACACCAGTCCTACCATACCTTAGTGACGAGCAACCGTGTCACGTCATTTCCCGATCGGAGAAAAAAAAAGTTGTCCCGCAACTGCAATGACGCCGCTTGAACATACGGCATTCCCCGGCACAGCAGTAGTCGCTGAAAGCAATTTGAGAGCGAACCGGACCCTTTCTCTGCAAAAAGTATCCGTCCTTTTTTCTTTTTTTTTCCCTCACCCGTGCGTAGCGTCTCGTCGTTCTGGAACCGCCCGGCCATCTTCAGCCCCCCATCTCCGAACTTCTCCGAGATCTCCGAGGCGGCGTTGAAGAACGACGTCTTAAGCGCGGCGAACATGAGAGGGAAGCCGCACAGGATGGAGAAGCCTGTGGCCAGGCGGGCGAGGCTCGCCAGGGGGTCGTCGGTGCGGTGGTAGTTGTTGAGCAGCAGGGTCTGCGCCGCCCCGCCGAAGGTGCGGAAGCCGAAGAGCATCATGGTGGTGAATACGCCGAACGAGATGCCCATGGCGGAGCTGACGAGAGAGACAAGAGAGAGAGAGAGAGAGAGAGAGACGCATAGAGAGAGAAAAGCAGAAACAGAAGGAGAGAGAGAAGGAGGGGGGGAGAGAGAGAGAAAAGAAGTTCAGTACACCCACGGTGGGCTTGCCGGGTGTGCTCATGCGCCGGTCGCTGCTCTGTATCCCCACAATGAACACAGGCACCTCGTCGCGCAGAAACGAAAAAAGGGATCCGTCGATGGCACTGCCGCTCGACCCCACAGTCTCGCCCAAGCCCCCTTACCAAAGTGCACGTCCATCGGAACGTTCATCGGAGCGTTCACTTTTCTTGTTTTGAACCTAATCCAACCCCCCCCCCCCCCCCCC